AAGGTGGCTATATCTCATTTATATTTGAGATATTCACCTGTAGGAACTTTCCACATAGCAGTTTCTCACCACAGCTTTTCATATGAATAAACTTCAAGTTGCCTTCCAATTTCCAATAAAACTGTTACACACAACTGTAACTGTAATGTTTAGGGTAGAAAGGAATCAAGGAAGAGGAATCAAGTCTAATATTTGGGCTTAACAAAGGATCCAAATTAAAAAAAATTACTGCAAAATGGATAATAGAAACCTTGAGCTTAGGAGATTCTGGATTTGGAGTAAGGGTGCCTGGGAAATTGTTTAGGTCTGGACAATTAAAATCCTGATGAAGGAATCAACATTTCCATGGGATCAGCGATGCAGAGTTGGGGACCCATCTAAGCTGACCCTGAAGGCATATACGTAGATGGTATCTGGGTTGCATCCAGCTGATGGTGAGCTCATTGGTTTCCCACATTGTCTCTTGAATTGAGACCTTTAAATGCCTTCCTGCTTCTCCCAGAGGCAGTGTCATGCAGAGTTCACAGCCCAATGTATGGCACCAGACTACTGAGGGGTAAATTCTAGCACTGCCATGTACCCACATGACTTATGGGCACCATGCTTAACCTCTCCATGCCTCCCTTTCCTCACCTGATAATTGGGGATAGTAGTATCTCCAGCTTACATGGCTGATTTTCAGAACTAAATGACTTAAGGGGTGGTACAAGTTGGAGATGGAGCTTGGCAGATGGAACACTGTACATGCTTAGCTACTTTATTATTTCTCCGTGTGGAAAGGGCATTGTTGCTAGATTCAGACCCTGAGCATCTGACTTTCTTGTTTAACAGATATAAAAAAAAAATGTCCTTTCTTTGTTGACAGGCCCCTCAGGAGCATAGACAACCCCCTGGCAGTGTTTGTGCCTTGATGCGAGAGTGAGGTTCCACCCTTTCCTTACGAGCTGGTCTTCAGTGGGCACCAGAGTACTTGCTCCCTTCCTTCTAGAACTTGTAAACCCTCCTCAGTCCCAGCTGTTCTCTCCTAAATATCTACTGAGCTCTGGCTTAGAACTGATTGTGATAATGATGTATTCTGATACAAGTAATACATTTAAAGAACTTACTTCAATGAGGAATTGGGAACTAGAGTATATTGAAGTCTCTAGTGCTCCATTTTTAGGGGGTCTGGGGAAGTAAGCCAGCGGCTTCTTGTTCCCATGATGGGCTGCATTAGGGGTGCATGGATATGTATGAGGTGGGAAGAGGCAGGATGAAGAAGGACAGTAGACCCTGAGCTCAGAACCACGGTGAGGCCAATCCTAGATCCTCACCACTGGAGCCATCCTACACACTCCCTCAGTTGTGCACAGCTCCCCAAGTGTTTCCAAATTCCCATATCATTCTACCTGGAAGGGTAAGAGAGGAGGTATAGATAAAAGGTTTTAGAATTATTTCATCCCTACTGTATAGGACCAGAGGCTCACAGGTAAAATCCTTCCTGATTTTTTGATACTAATAAGCAGAGTAATTTGAGTTGAGGTGATGAGGAAAAGCAAATGCCTTTCTTCCTCCTTATCTTCTCTCATCCACAATATAATAAATCCTACTTACAAAACATATCATTATTCTTAGGGATTGACTACTATCTTAACATATAATATTCCTGCCCTCGGCAACACAATCGGATATTATGGACAATACAAAGGAATAGCAGTAACTTAGAGTCTATGGAATAGTTTAATTTCTTTAGTGAAAAACTTCTTTGAGTTTAGAGTTTCTGTGCTCCAAGATGGCAACAGACCTGATTCTTCCCAGAGATAGAAATGAAGTCTCATATCAGTGGCATCCTCCTAAGTGTTGTGGACCGTGGCTAGAACCCCAGCCTGCCACTCTGCATCAGTCGCTGGGAACCAAAGCCAAAATCTAGGCCCAGATAGTTAATTTTTGACTTTTTTTTTTCAGAAGTAGAGGTCTTTCTGGACACTTATAAAACCCAGCCAATTGTTCATAACCGTATCATTTAACTATATCCATTGTTCTTTCAACACCCCCCTCCCCAGCTCCCAGAGATAACATTATACACATACACACACACACACACACACACACACACACACACACACCCATTCAATGGCACCTCTTTCCTCTTCCTGTCACTGGAACCCTTCTCAACATGTCCCCTCCTCCCTCCTGTCTTCTTTTTGTGTATGGCTCACTTAGTGTAGGGTTTTCTGCTTGCAGGTAGGAGGTTATTTACTGGAGCAAGGGCAACTTACAAGTGGCTACACTCCTGAAAAAAAAATGACATTCCCTCCCCCAACAACCATAATTGCCAATAGTCCCTCAGGGAGGGGTCAGGTCTGGTAGTCCCTTCCCCCATCCATGATGAAATGTTAAGGGGCCAATCTTGTCCTGGCCTTGTGCAGCTAACCACAGCTGCACTGATGGCAATGATATTATCTAGATAACAGCAGGAATTCACTTTTAGATAAACTCTGCTTTTTTCCTGGAAGAGATAGAACGTTTATTTTTATTTAGTCCCAATTTCCACAATCTTAAAAACTTCCCTTATAGACTTCTAGCATGGTGACCCCTCTGCATCGACTAGATGCATTGGCTGGACACAGGCTTTCCTTACACTGGTGCTGACATGATATTATCTAGATAACAGCAGGAATTCACTTTTAGATAAACTCTGCTTTTTTCCTGGAAGAGATAGAACGTTTATTTTTATTTAGTCCCAATTTCCACAATCTTAAAAACTTCCCTTATAGACTTCTAGCATGGTGACCCCTCTGCATCGACTAGATGCATTGGCTGGACACAGGCTTTCCTTACACTGGTGCTGACTGTCTGGAGGAAGTATGGTGGAGTGGTTATGATCTCAGTGAGCCTGCTTGGGAGGGAAGAGCAAATGGTGATTTGGGGCAGGTTCCTTCTCTTAGCCTCATTGCCCACATGTGTAAAATGAAGATAGCAGTGGTATCTACTTGAGCAGTTGTTGGAATATTGACTGATATTTATCAAACATTTGATTTGCTGCCTCACATATAGTAAAAATTTCAGAAGTTCAGTAGTAACCTGTCTCATGTATGGTATCTAGAAGCTCCATCCCCCAAGGCACAAGGAACTTGCCATCTTGTTGGGCAAATTCAAACCTGACTTTTTCTTTCTCCTCTGTGATTGACCTTGACAACTAGAGTATCTGTTGAAAGAAAGAGGGGCATGTCTTCTGGTACTCCTTTGCTTCCCCAGCAGGGTCTTACTCATTCAAAAATGTTCCCTGAGTACCTACTGTGTGCCAGGCTCTGCTGTGGGTCCTGATTATCTAGGAACCAACAAGACAGATCAGGTCCTTTCTGTGTTTAGCTTGCCTCAAGACCCCACAAAGTCTAGCATTCTGCAAGAATTTCTCATTAATTACATCTCTTTCAGTACAACACATTCAGACTGATGACCTCAAATCCCTTGATAACCACAAGATGCCAAAGTACCCTGTGAATCACCAAAGGAAGAGCATGATGGTCACCATAGTTCTGAGATGCTCATTCTGCTGTATTCGAATAATTTTTTAAAAAATATTTTCAGTTTAATTTTATGCATGTGAGTGTTTTGTCTGCATGTAAGTACATCCATGTTGTGTAATGCCCACAAAGAACAGAACAGGGTGTTATATCCCCTGGAACTGGAGTTATGGATGGTTGTTAGCCACCATGTGGGTGCTAGGAACCAAACCTGGGTCATTTGCAAGAGCAGCCAGTACTCTGAGCCATCACTCCAGGCCCTCAAATACTTTTTTGAAAACAGATAATTCATATAATACAGCCATGGTTTCCATAGATATTTAAGTTGAATTATCTGTCCTGGACCACACTGAGAACTCAAATCAATCTTCCTTCTCTCCCTCCCTCCCCTTTCCTCCTTCCCTCCCCCTTCCTCCCTCCCCCTTTCCTCCCTCTTCCCCCCTTCCTCCCTCCCTCTCCCTTCCCTCCCTTCCTTCTTCCTCACTTCTTTCTCATATTTATGCATTTATCTACCTTTCTATTTATTTAAAGCAGGGTTTCATGTATCCCAGGCTGGCCTTAAACTCACACTGTAGCTTAAATTCTTGATCCTCCTGCTTCTGTCTCCTGAGTACTGCAATTACAAGCATGCTTGGTCTATGCAGTACTAGGGATCAAACCCAGGGCTTCGTGCATGCTAGGCAAGCACTCTATCGACTGGGCCTCAGCCCTTCAAACCCTTATCAAGATGGCTTATTTTAGTGTTGGGTTTCTTTGTTTTATGTTTCTTAGGTGTCTTCTGGTCTCTCAGAAGTTAAAATGTCTTTTCTTATCCTCTAGACTAGATTCTAACGTTTTTTTGGGGGGGGGAAGAAATCTTCTACCATGCATGTCCCACTGATGATATTGTTTTACTATCTCATCAACCCCAAAGGAGGAACAGGGGAGAAAGGTCTTGTCGGCTACCTGAGATCTGTTTAAGTCTCCCCTGGGGCCCTGACTTGGATGCTGTTCTCTGCTACTCAAAGGTTCTCTGCTACTCATGGTTTTATACCTCTGTCCTCCAGGCTCTTTCAGCTTCTCTAAAGTGGAGCCAATGGAGTGGAGCTTGCTAAGCATCCTTCTAGCACTAAAACTTCTAAGACTCTTTTGCTATATCCTTGGAAGAGTTTGAGAGTAGTTCCTGCTTTTGGCCTGCAGAATCCATTTGCTAAGAAGCTAAGAAAAAGCCAGGAATCTCAATGTTCACTTCAGGTATGTGTTCACACACACACACGCACACGCATGCGTGTGTGCGCACTATGTACACACATGTATCAAGTACATACATGCATGCCTGCTGATAACCTATCTGTCCTACTCTTTACACTCTCAAGGGAGAAATTAAAAAAAAAACACTCGAGTTCTTGCTAAGGAGACTGTATCAGTGAAAGATACAGATCAGTGAAAGAAAGCTGACTTTCTCACAGGAGAACAGGAAAGAGAAGAAAACTCAGGAAAGGGACGCTCGTGGTAGGGAAAGAAATTTTATTTCCAAGCTTTTAAGAGAATATTACAAACAACAGAGAGTTTTAAAAAACCCTAAAAACTAGTTTAAAAAAGTACTTGACAGTGTCCATTTAATACCCAAGGATGACATGTCCATTGTGCAATGATAATAAACTCTGCAGGTGACCACCCAGTGGCCTTCCCTGTCAGGGTCCTGATCCATGCAGGTGGGCTCCAATAACAGTGTTCCCTGCCTGGATCCCTGGTGTGCCTGGCTACAGAGAAGGACCAGGGAGCACATAGCACTGAACATGAGGCAAACTGCCTCTTTAGGGAGGGTCCCAAGCAGCAAGGAATACTTAGACTGGTCTCTATTCAATTCCTTGGGGTACACAGGCCAGCTTCTCCCCACACTTTAGCAGCTCTCCTAGGAGACTGAGGTGGGAGGGGTCCTCTGTGTGTGTATGTGTGTGTGCATGTCCATGTGTCCTGTGCCTGTGTCAAGGCCTAAAGAGCATGGCACTGCATTATCCTGGTTGGAGTAGGGGGCTGAATAGTGGGGAGAGTTCCTCCTGGACTTACAGCTTTGAAAGCTGAAGCCACAACACAGAACTGTGCTTGAGATAGCCACAAGAAATTGTGTGTGTGTGTGTGTGTGTGTGTGTGTGTGTGTGCGTGTGTGCATGCGTGCGCATGCGTGTCCATGTCCGTCCTGTAAACATCTTTGGACCAAATCACTATAAAATAAAGTAACAAGGGGCACAGAGCAGAAAGATACCATCTTCTAATCTCTGTCTTTTCTGAGTTTGCAGCTGGGAAGGTTCTTTTCAGAGAAGCCCCTTCTTGCTGACCACTCTCATCAACAACTTTTCTTGAATCATCCCTCTAGGGACCCTAAAGTCCAGTTGAGTCATTGGAATTCTGCTACGTAGCAGAGTGCAAACCCCCTCCCCAAACCAGTGTCCCTTACTAGCCCACAAGGTTCCATCCTCTCCCCAGAGAGAAAACAAAACAAACCTGAAGTTGAGTGATGCAGATGATCAAAGCTCTCCCATGGGTGGCCTTTGCTTTTTCTCTTCACTGCCTGTTTGCCCATCCGTTTGTGCTGCTTTGTGCCCTGCCTCTCCAATGTCTTACTACTGGTAGATCTGGGGGAGGGGGTTCCTTTTCTCAGGGTTGTTTGGCTGGTACTGCTCGCCCTTGTTGAATTTGTGTTGGTTTTTGTTGCTGTTGTGGTTGGAGGATGGGACTGACTAAGAATCACAAGAGCACTCCAGGGTGCAACCTCCCCACTGCTCCCCTCTGCTCCAGGCTCCCCCCAGGCCCACCACTCTCTGCTGGCTGTTAGCTCCAGCCTTCCATCACTGCTTCCTGGGCCCCTCCTCGCAGGACCTCTTTCATGAGATGCACCTGGTCACAGCCTTCCTCTGGGGCCTCTTTTCACACTGTGGTGACTCTCATGACGAGTTCTCTGCCACCCTGGGTGCTCCGCTGTTCATGAGGTCTCAAGTGACTCAGGATGTGCAGGATGGTGTAAGCACAGTGGTGATGGGATACAGGGCCTGAGGGGTGGCTGGTAGCCTGGGTGGGACCCTCCTCAAGAGCAGGGGTGCCTGCTGCCTCCTCTTCTGAGGAGGGGGCATTGGCCTGGGTGGATGAGGAAGTCTGAAGGTTTGTCCTGCCTCCTGACTTTTGGTCCTCCATGTCTTTTGTCTTGTCATAGTTCAGTACTTTCCACTGCTGGTTGACAGCCTGCCAGCGTTTAAAGATGCGGTATACTGAGGGTCCTTCGTGGATGATGAGACCTGAGGCAGCATGGGGAAAAAGAAGAGCAAAGGCTAAGCAAAGAAGGCAAGTCTCTGTCCTTAATTTATACCACACAGATACAGACACTGGGGAAGCTGGGGTTGTACTGGTTTGATTTGTTTTTCAAATTCACCTCCCAGCTCTGAGCCACATGATTCCAAAACTCCTCTAGGTTGCTAGGCTGCATGAGCCACCAGAAGGGAGAAGGTCAAGAAATAACTGGGCATCCACAGGAAATGCCTTTGCTTGCCTCTTCTACTCCATCCTGCCTCCTCTTTGGCTTGACACAATTCAAATTTGATTGAAGCATAATATAATTTCCCCCCCTGTATTATGTATTCATGGCACCTGGTACTTAGCAGGTGTCGAATGAATCATGTGCTTTAAAAGGCAACATAAAAGAAATCCTGTGGGCATTCCAATTATGTGGAATGGCATCTGAAATTCACTGGTTAGCTCTTTGCATAAACAGTCAATGTTACTGGAATACAAACTCCCCTGGCAGAGTGAACAGTCAGGAGTTATATTGACCAAAAGCAATGGGAGCTAGTGGAAAAAAGCTATGCCTGGCAACAAGGAAAAGAATTATCAGTTGAAGGCCTACTGTGTGCCAAGCACTGGGATCCTGCAGGATAGGTTGGCTGGCCAGTGAGACCTAAGGGATTCATGTGTCTCTGTCTCCCTGGCACTGGGATTACAACTGTGTGCTACTACACCTGACTTTTTAAAAGGTGGTTTTCTGGGGATCAAACTTGGGCCTTCATGCTTGCAAGTCAAGTATTTTACCAACTGAGCTATCCTCTCCTCTCCTCCCTAGCAAATATATTTTAGTGTCCCTTTTCCTACCCTGAAATGAAGTTCATAAGACATTATAAACTTATTATGTGTTTTTTAACTCATAGCCTACCACAATTGAAATAAGTAAAAACATAAAACAAAGGGGAAGTCAATTGTAAAATGATACAGATTTCAATATAAATACCGGGGCACAGTTACTTTAGAAAACCTCATTCATTTCCAAGATGCCTCTAAGGAGGTGGTACACTGATCATAAGGATGCTGAAGATGGGAACGGTGGGAGGGAGGATGTGACTGATCTCCATAAAGGACTGTGAGAACAGAGAAGCCACCTGCAGCCAGCAGCACTGAGGGAAGGGGTAGTAAATAAAGAGGGCATGCACTCCAAAGGGCTGGGGCTTCTGAAGGATGAAGGAGCAAAAGTAGTATGTGAATGGTGGCTGGCAGTGAGATGCCCATGGGCCCTATCTCCAGGCCTCATGGAATACAGAGCACGAGAGAAAGAACACCCACCACCAGAGACAGCTAATGGGGAAACGTAATCTCGGAATACAACTGCTTTGATCAAAGGAAGGTGAAAGAAACACACAGAGAGAAGTCACTAATGCTGGCCCATCGGGCCCAGAGGTCATTGTGGAAAGGCTGAGGAGATGGAATAAACAAAACAAGAAAAGAATGATTATTCATAGAATGAGGTGGTCAGAAGGCTGGGCCTGGCTGGGATCTGTGAAAATCCCAGAGGAAGAGCTGGCTCACAGGAGCAATGTGGGTAAATCTCCCTGGCCTCCTCACTACAACAAAGGTTCTGAATGGGAACACTTCAAAGCTCTTCTGCTCCCACACAGATTCTAGGAGAGAACAGTCACCCATTGCCACTTCCTACAGTATCCCAGCAGGTCCTGAAATTACATTTCTTGATGCATCTTCAATGGTACAGAGACAGAGAGAGAGAGAGAGAGAGAGAGAGAGAGAGAGAGAGAGAGAGAGAGAGAGAAAGAGAGAGAGAGAGAGATTCTAGCTCTGGTTTTATGTCACATTTCTCTTAGCACCTTATGAAGGGCAAAATTCATCTCCCTGGGAGGAAATACCCATGTATCCAAATTGTTCCATTAGTTTTAGAGGGAGCATAATTTCCTAAAGATAACCTCTGAATCCCTGATAGGTTCTGGACAAGAAGGGTTTCTCTCTGTCCCCAAGTGTGCCAACCCCTTTTACTTCTGTCCACCCTTGAATGTGTATCTAGGTACCACTGGCATTAAAGCCATTGTTCATCTACTGATCCACATACCTTGCACATTGCTATGAGATTTTCTTCAGATCACAGGCTCTGGCTGAGTCCTGGGAGCCATGGCAACATCAGGAACATCACACAGCCTCACTGAGGAAGAACCTGGACCTGGGCACAGAGAAGCAGGGGCTTCTGGGGCCCAAGTAAACTGTTTCTGGTTAGAATCTCTACTCTTCATTCTTAATTAGCTTTTTGATAAGACAATTCTACTGTGATTGAAGAGGGTGGATTAAATTTTTGGTCTGCGTGCTGCCTTTTAATTGCATAACTATCCAGTGTTCAGACAATAATTAAACCATTTTAATGGATAGATGGCTAAAGGGGACGAAGATATGCTTTTTTTCTAGGTAACACTTGTTTGGCAAAAGTTGGAAAAACACAAACTACCTCTTTCTCATCCAGTCACCTCAGTTTCCTGCTCCACAAATTACTTATTGATTCCTTGCATGGAAGAATTTTTCTTTTTCTTTTTCTCTTTCTTTTTTTTCTTTTTGAGACAGGGTCTTCCTGTAGCCCCAGCTGGCCTGGAACTCACTATGTAGACCAGGCTGGACTCAAACTCACAGATCCATCAGCCTTTGCCTCCTGAGTGCTGGGACTAAATGTGTGCATCACCACGCTCAGCACAGAAGAATGAACAAAACAAGAAAAGAATGATTATTCATAGAATGAGGTGGTCATGCCCAGCACAGAAGAATGTTTTTAAAAATGAGTGGGGCTCATCTGATGGGGCAGGTGATGTGGGCAAGGTTGACAAAGTGGCAAAGAAGGACAGAGTGTGGGAAATGGCAGTGGACAGAGAAAGAGGTTGAATTCAGATGAAGAAAGAAGGCTATTTGTGAAGATAGAGAAGTCATTAAAAAAAATGGGAAGGGTAGAGTGCTTGCCTAGTATGCAGGAGACCCTAGGTTTGAGCCACAGCCCTGCATAAACCAGTGTGGTGGTACACGCCTGTAATTTCAGCACTTGGGAGGTAGAGGCAGGAAAAGCAGGAGTTGAAGGTCATCTTATAGAGAGAGTTAAGGTTTCATGAGACCCTGTCACAAAACAAAAAAGAAAGAAGAGGGGGAGGAGAGGAAGGTAAAATGAGAAATGCAATACATTTTGACTGATTCCTTTCCTGGAGTTTTCTATGTATTTTATTACTAGCTATCTAGTAACTATCGACAATGTATCCACACCTTGGTTGTATTTGTAGAAAATCCAGCGCCAGTTGAATAGACTCTTCATCTTTCTAATGTCTCTCCATCTTTGGGCTCCTCTTCTTCATGTGGTAACGGGCTCCACAGGTTTCTAGACACTGTCATTATCTCATTTCCAGCCATCCTTACCTCCAGCTGAAATGGTCTTTTGCCTAGTCCAAGGGGCTGGGAAAGAAGGCTGGCTACCATGAATGGGCAGTCCTGCTTTCACAGCTCCTCCAATCAGTATCATCATGACAACAAGTTCTTGAAACAGCACTCCAGTTTTCCCTTGGTGCATTTTGGCCATTGGCTTTCTGCTGAGCAGAGAGATATGACCCAATGTTGTCTTTTTCTGAGAGCCTGCTCTGTGTTTATCTGAGCCCCTGCCAAGGGACAGAACACTGCTTCCTACCATGTGTGAGAAGACCAAGAAGTCTATAGAAAAGCATCCAATCCCCTCAGAGATCCCAGAATCCCCCCACCCCCATCTCCTTCTAATATCTTGGCTTAAGTGTAATAAAAGTTGTTGACAGTTCTACATTTCAAATTTAGGTGTGCATCAGAATCTTGAGAGTGCTTGATTCCTGGCTTCCCCACCGGAGTGTTAGACTCAGTAGGTCTGGGGCCAGGCCTGAGAATCTGCATCTCTAAGAAACCTCAGGTGATACTGATGATGCCTATAGATGGCCTCTACTGAGCTGCACTGCCTAGACACAGTCCTTGTCCCTGTCCACTACTGCACAGAAAGCAGTACATTTTATTAAAAAGAAAACAAAAGCCGGGTGTGGTGGAGCATGCCTTTAATCCCAGCACTTGGGAGGCAGAGGTAGGCGGATCTCTGTGAGTTCAAGGCCAACCTGGTCTACATAGTGAGTTCCAGGACAGCTGGGGCTACAGGGAGACCCTGTCTCAAAAAGACCAAAAAAGAAAAAAGAAAAAACAAAACAAAACAAAACAAAACAAAACAAAAAGGCTTAGTTGGTAAAGTCCTTGCCATACAAGCATGAGGAACTGAGTTTGGATCCTCAGCATCCATGTAAAAAGCAAGGCATGGTGGCAGGCACTTGTAATCCCAGCTCTGAGGATGTGGAGATAATAGCACCCCTGGGGCTTGAAAGCCAAGTGGTATAGCTGAAGTGGCAAACTCCGGGTTCAGGGAGAGACCTCAGAGAGCAGAAGAGTGCCTGCCATTCACAAGCCTTGAAGCTTTAGTAAGGGACTTGCTCTTTATGAGTCTAAGTTTCTCATCAGCAAATTAGAAATGATATGGCTTTCCTCACAAAGCTGTTGTGAGACCAGATGAGGTAAGGATTCCTGAGTTCTGCACCCAGCATGCTTTACCAGCAAGGCCACATGAGATGGATTGTTGGAGGGGAGACCACAGGGCACTCATCTCTTCTGCCTCTTTCATTGCCAACCTGTTCCCATCACAAGCACCTGCTCTTCTATGGAACTGTTCTCATTCCTCATCCTCAGGCTGAGTCATTGTTTGTAGAGCAGTTATACAGAGCTGATTCTACAGGTGTGGGGACAAGCTCTCCTTTTTGGGTCCCCCCTCCCACCACCATGGCCTTCAGTGCTGTCCTTTGAGGGCACCCTCTTCCCCTGAAGACTTCTTATATTGGTTACTTTTCTCATTACTGTGATCAAGTACCTAACAAGAAGCAGTTTAAGGGAAGAAGGATTGATTTTTGGCTTATGGTATAAGGGGATATGGTATAGCATGGGA